GGGGGGGGGGGGAATGATGTGGAAGGCCTGCTACTGCAGCTGCTGCATATGTCCACACAGTGTACGCACACACTATCCACACACACACCACACACACAATATCTACACGCACACACACACACACACACACTATCTATTATCTACCCATGCTTGCACACACAAGCAGACACACACACACACACACACACACACACACACACACACAATGTACTCAGATGCACATGCACATGCAAGAGAAAGGAGGAGGAGGAGGATGACGAAGAAGAAGAAGAGGAGGACGACGACGATGAAGAAAAACAAAAAAATGAAGAGGAGGAGGAGCGGTGCAAGTCAGAGTCTATGATTAATAAATAAATAAAAAGAGGGCGGGAGGAACGGTGCAAGTCCAAATTCCACCGTTCCTCTCACCCTTTTTTTTTCCTTTTTCAATCAATCAATCAATCAATCAATCAACCAATCATTCAATCCGATCCAATCAATATTGGATCTTGAAAATCCAATTGGTTGGATTTTCAAGATCCAATCCATCTATTGATTGGATCGGATTGAATGATTGATTGATTGATTGATTGATTGATTGATTGATTGATTGATCGATCGATTAGAAATTGCACTTTCACTCCTACGAAAACACAAGTATAAGATCAACTTAGAGACATGCGAGTTCGGTCGCACTAGAATCTTGTACTTGGGTCATGAGATATCTGTGGAAGGGATTAGGCCCAAAGATGCAAAGGTGGCTAGCATTCGTGACTGGCCACGACCCCAGTCTGAGACTGAGGTCCTATCATTCTTAGGGATGTGTGGCTACTATCGAAGTTTCGTAAAGAATTATAGTATGGTAGCCTCCCCTTTGACTGATCTAACACGCTTTGACACACCATGAGAATGGACAATGTGAGAGGCTGCTTTCGGAAGATTGAAGTACGCTAGTACGCCCTCACACATCATGAGATTCTCATTGTCCCCGATCCGAGGAGGCCACTTGTTGTGACCATTGACGCAAGCCAATACGGCATTTGCGCAGTGCTGGCCCAATAGGAAGGGAAAAAGTTTATGTCGATGGAGTATATGAGAAAGAAGATGTCATCCAAGAAGTCGGCGAAGTCCAGCGACGAAAGGGTCTCTATGCCCTTTACAAGGCCCTTGTTCACTGGAGACACTATCTGCTGGAAAAATTCTTCTATTTGAGAATTGACCATCAGGCACTCGAGCGGATCAAGACACAGCCAGTTTTCTCCGATGCACTCAAAAGTTGGATTGAATTAATAGATCAATATGACTTCAAGCTAGATTACGTGAAGGGAGAGTACAATAAGGTTGCTGATGCGCTGTCACGTAGGGCAGACTACCCAGGTGCGCTAATAACTGAGTTTGGCTCGTCTGACGGTGCAACTCGATCGTTGGTGGATACCTACAAGGAAGATTCTCTCATGATGGACATCATATGCGAACTAGATGCGAAAGACAAAGCGACATCTGACGAGTTTGTGATGGTGGACGGATTGCTCTTCTTTAAGAAGGCAGGGTTCAAAAGACTATGTGTGTCGTCTAGTGAGATTTTGCGTAGTTTATTTTTAGGTGAATGTCATGATGTGACATGTCACTTTGGATATAAGAAGACTAGTGCTAATTCAGTACAACGATTTTGGTGGCTGAACATGCTTGATGATGCAAAGAAGTACGCACAAATTTGCCAAGTCTGTCAGCGGGACAAGCCGCGTACTCAAGCCCTTGCCCATTCTTGGAGGTCCGGGACTGGGTGTCTCCATGGATTTTCATGGAAACCCTCGTGACCAGCAAGAGTGGTAAGAGGCATATCTTCGCCATAGTAGACAGGTTCACTAAGTATGTTAGACTAATAGCCACGCTTGAGACTGCAAGGACTGAAAACGTCATTAAGTTATTCATGGATAACTGGGTGCGTGATTTTGGACTGCCCAGGTCTATAGTTAGTGATAGGGATCTCTGATTCACGAGCGAAATGTGGCAGAAGGCTGCTGAGCAAATGGGCAGCCAACTTCAGATGACCTCCAGGAATCATCCCAAAGCCAATAGTCAAGCGGAACAGATGAACCTTGCGGTGCATCACCTGCTGAGGCATTACATTAAGCCCAGCCAGGATGATTGCGATGAGAAGTTGCCTCTCATCGCCAGTCTGTACAACAACGCTGTTCACAGCACCATGGGTGTCTGTCCGAATGAACTGCATTTGGGATGGAAGCCTAGATCTTCCCTAGACTTCCTCCTTCCTGAAAACAAACCAGTTGCAATGCCTGGAACAATAGAGTTTGGTGTCCAGTACGAAAAGCTGTTTCAGCAGGCTGTCGAGCATATCAGAAGGTCTCAGAGGCTATGATTGCCTCTAAGAACAAACACATACGACAGTCCACATTTCAGGTAGGGGAATGTGTCTGGGGAAAGGCTAGCGAACTACGTCAGGAATTCTGAATCTCTAGGAAACTAATGTCTCAATATTTCGGTCCTTGGGAAGTTCTAGACATTGTGGGTAGTTACTTGGATGGTCCCTCGTACGTCATTAGAACTCGTGGTCATCTGCGCACTTACCCTGTATTCCAGGCTTCCAAGCTGGCACCTTTCGCTGAGACAGATCAATTCCCATCAAGGAGGTCAATGCTGCCCCCAACCACGGTGGCCATGTGGACGTCGATGACATCTTGGAACACAGAGACTTGCCTATTCCCAAGCCTGTTGGCAGAGGAAGATCACCCAAACCTGCGAGGGAGTATCGGGTCAGGTTCAGGCATCATACAGATCCAAAAGAAGATCGTTGGTTCACGAAAGAGGAGCTTGTCAAGACAGCCCCTCAGATTGTGGCAGATTACGAACGAAGGCTCAAGGGGAAGGCACCTGCACAGAAGCATCTCAGCGGACTTTTGAAGCTAAGGGGGATGGAATGCGAGTAATAAGCCCTCCTGGGGCCTTTATCAGACAAACAAGTGTTCTGGGCTGCGGCCCCTAGCAAGTCTGTGCCTGCCCTAAGTGAAGGCAAGGCAGGCCTGAAAATCCACGTGAGGCCTGTTTTCAACATTTTTCCATATATGGGTACTCAGACAGTTGCAGCACGCCAGTTGGCTACATAGCAACATGAGCCTCCAGGCTCTTTCCAGAAGCAAAGGGCTGCGCTGTATAGTTGAGCCTAGGGCTGAGGCGGTTGTGCCCTGGGCACATGCTGTGTGAGGCCGACACATCACGGACGGGTTGCGGGCCAATGAGGAAGCAGCATTGCCGTCACACAAGAGCCGGGAGCCAATGAGAATGCTACAAACACTTGGAAGGTGGGTGGCTGCCTGGACGTGCCTAACTGCGCGAGGCCCAGGCCAGTATCTGAAACTGGGCCTGGACGCAGACACTTGGGGCCAGAGGCAAGCTACTGGGCCCCCCCACATGCCTGGACAGGCCAGCCAGCGGCGGCCACTTTCCATAAAGGAAAGTGTGTACTCCATGTGGGGGCATTCTGGCCTTGGCAGGCAATGAGGACATGCTGCTGCGTTGCTGCGCTAGTGTCTGCATGTGCGCTGCCGGTCGGACGCGTGCACGGGCGTTGAGGTGAGGGGCGCTGCTGAGGCAGCGGGCGCGAAGCAGCCATAGCCGGGCTGCAGGGGCGCAGGCAGGTGATGGCGAAGGTGGTCTTCGGGTAGGAGGCACATGAGGTGGGGAACGAGGGGTGATGAGGAGACAGCAAGAACGCACCTGGTGTATGCTGGAGGTTGGCATTGGTGTTGACGTTACGTACATTGGCCTTCGACTTCGATGTGATCCTGTTGCAAGAACACAGATAGGTAGATAGGCTGAGTAGAGTAGGCTGGGCGCTAGGCGCCAGACAGTAGGGGTGATATTGGATACGGTGTTGGTGTGACCAGAGAGCGTCGGCATTGACACTCAAGTTCATTGTATTGCTCTTATTTGGATGGAATCTTGGTGCATTTTGCTCTCTGCTGTGATTTTGCAACTCGGTTTTCTGTATATTGCTCTCGCTCATATTCCGTGCAGTCTGTTTCCTTTTTTTTCTTTTTCTCCCTTTTTCCCCCTTTTTTCCCTTTTTTGAAGTTTTTCCCCTTGTTTCCCTTTTTTCTCGTTCTGATGGCTTCAATTTTTTTCTCTTTTTTATCCCACAATTTCTTATCTGTTGCAGTTAAGGCAGATATTAAGGAATTGGAAGTTTGGTCCTGAAGTCATGCTGGCAAAAGCAACAAAGGTGGATGAAGAGTTGGGAAGACAGAGTATGAAGGCGGCAAAGAGATTCGAGAGGGAGGAAGCTGAGGCTCATGATAGAGGGACGGAATTTGCCAAATGCAACTTGAGGGAAGAAGAAGAAGAGGAGGAGGAGGAGGAGGAGGAGGAGGAGGAGGAGGAAGAAGAAGAAGAAAAAGAAGACGATGCAAACAGATGGGGGAGAAGAACACGAATGTGTCCCAATGGTGTGAGTGTTCAGATGAAGGACTTGGTAAAGAGGAGCCAGAGTAAGCATGAAAAGATGCAAAAGGTGCATATCAACAGAGATCAGGGTGATCATGGACTCGAAGGTCAGGTGCGAAGACCCAGTACCAGGAGGAAACACATCGGTCATGCTCATCGGGAAAAGAGATGGGTGAAAAGGAGAGATGCAAGGCCTCCTCCAGCTCATGGAATTGTGAATGTAAAGAGTATGAAGAGGGAGAAGGAGATGAAAGAAATGCGGCCTGCAAAAGATATCCAGAGCAAGAAGGAAGTTTTCATTGCTGACTTCACACGAACATCCAGGATTCTTAATGATCGGTGAGCTTTTTGAAGTGAAGCCTATCTAAGGACCTCTTGGCTTGTTTATCAACTTCGTAACCTACCCCCCCTCCCCACAGTCTGTACTCTGGCCTCAATCCATATTGAGGAGCCCAGAAGTTCATCATCTCATTTTTTTGTTTTCCGGCGAATTCTGCTTCACAATGATAGAAAAAGATGACATAAAAGAATCAAAATTTTCAAAAGCAACGTTGCTGTGATGTTTGGCAGCCACAAGCAAGTAACATCATCTCAATAAACATAACGAGGGTATTGTGTCTTTCTATGTGATGTACAGCTTACTGAGCATTCAAAAGAATATTCCAGTCTTTCAGAATCCCAAGACATTGATGGGCATTATTTTTATCTACAATGGTATAGAAGCCCCTAGTCATCATAACGGGAGCATCTGGGTTGTTCGCCATTTAACTTGTGCGCACAAACGATTCAGATTTGCAGCCAGTCACGCGGCCAGTCTCAAAAAATTAAGCTCAACGAGTCACAAAAGCGTCTCCCATTGCTGAAGAGAAAATATTCCAGAATCTCAAGACATTGATTGTCGTTATTTTCTTTGACGATATTAATATATTATCGAATTCCCTGATTGTCATAACAGGAGCATCTGGGCTGTTCTCCACTTATGCTTGTGAATTGTGCAGATCTGCGGCCAATCACGAAAAATCAAGGTTGGCCCTGAATGTGGGCTGTTCCCGCACTCCGATGTCCCAGAGCCCAGCCAATCTTGATTTTTTTGTGTAACCAGTCGAGCATCTGGGCCGTCCTTCGCTCCATGGCCCAGATTGGTGGCCAATCTGAACTTGAGGTCATCGGACTCGCATCTCAGCTGTCCATCCATACAAACAGCCCAGATCGCGTACAGACGTGGTAGGGCTCTACTGGCTGTGGGGATGGGCTATGCCATGGGCCGATATGAATGAAATCGTGTTGCACGCCACCCCCTGTTGCTGCCAGGTGTCTGAGGATCACCGCCCGCAGGGCATGGACAAGATATACACACACGCGCACACACTCCATTTTCTCCCTACCCCTGCTCCCTCCCCTGCCCGTCGTTCTCTATGGAACTCCGCCTCCTACCCCTTCCCTTCCTCCCTCCCCTTGTATACTACGAGAATAGACAAAATATAAGCTGAAGATATGCAGAAAAATGAACACAAGTATACCTCCCCCTTTACTCTGCCTTCTTTCATGACATGCAAGTGTGCCATTAAGCAATACAATGAACTCAAATGTCAATGTCAGCCTCTTCTCGCCACCATCAACAATGTATCCAGTGTCGCCCTTCTTGATTGGAGCTCAGCACCCAGCCTACCACTACTCAGAAACCTATACTAGCCTCCTACTGATGACGATGCAACCAGGAATCACTTCCAGCCAATCTACGTGAAGAACTTGCCCATGCAAACAACCGCATACACATATGTGTCTCTTCTCCCTCTCTTCTCATCACCTTCACCCCCACAGTGTGCATCCCCAAAACCTGAAGACCACCATTGCCTACACCAGCTACTTGTAAGCAGGCCTGACTATGGCCGCTTGCCATCGCTGCCCAGCAGCGCCCGTGCGCACCCTGGCTTGCAGCTCTCTTGCGACTTCCAGCGTGCAAAGTGGCAGCGGTGTTGCCCAGCTGCCACTCGCCCAAATGCCTGGCTGGGCGTTGGGCACTTTCCTAAAGGGAAAGTGCTGCCCTGTGTTGGTTGCCCCTGGGCCTGGCGTCCGAGTTCCCAGTAGCTTGACGTCGGGCCAACGTGTCTGAGTCCAGGCCGAATTCAGATAGTGGCCTGGGCCCAAAGCAGTTAGGCCAAGCCGACTGTGCGACGTGGCTCACCTCACTTGCTGCATTCTGATTGGCCGAGAGGCCTCCCACCTCGGCGCAGCTTGGAAAAGCCTAGAAGTTTCATCAGGCCTCGGTCACACAGCAGAAGAGTCCCCGGTAACCAACTGGTGCGTGGTAACTGTCTGGGGCCCTCAAGTTCAGAAATGGCCTGAAAAAGGCCGCATAAGAATAATGCAGGCCCGCCTTGACTTTGGGTGGGCACGAGGCTTGCCTGGGGCCCTCTTCTGAATCGGCCGCTGTGGCCAAATGGCCCTGTGAGGGGCTCATTCCTCGCAAAGGACAATGGCATTCAATTGCAAATGAAATGAAAGAACTTGGAAAGAGAAATATACAAAGGAAGAAGAAGAATAAGAATGGAAGAAGAAGAAGAAGAAGAAGAAGAAGAAGTAGATGTACACCAGCAAAGACCAATGTCATATCCCCCTCCAACTAGACATCTCACTTCAACCTCCTTATCTCCCCTGACCTCTTCATTCAATAAATAATAATAATAGCAATGAAAGACTGAACCAGAACCAATGTCCGAATCTCCTCCTTACTGCCAGCAACACATGAGGTCCGCCATGGCCACGACCTACACATTCTACCTCCTCTCTCTGGTAGGTGGCTATGGCGGACTAGTGGGGCCTGGCCCCGGTGTCCAGAGGACAACGCAGAGCGGGTATGTCCCCTCTACGAAGGCTGCCATGCCTGACTCTGCCCTTAAGCCTTCCTTGAAGCAGCACACCCCCACTGGTGGGGCCTTCCAGGTGCAGCGCCAACCAAGAAGATGAAGATACCGTCCATCGTAGCCAGGTAAGTACCCCATCACTCTCCTCGTAGCCCACCTTCTTCCTCCCCCTCCTGCCTGGGCTGCTTCACCATAGCTGAAGCTGGAGCGCCAGGCGTCCTTCTTCCTCCCTAGCGGTGGACTGGCCAAGCGCTCACTCCAGCAGCATGATGCCATATTTGCACACTGCAAAATGAGGAAGAGTCTGATGCTCTTCCTGAAGATATACCGGGCAGCTTGCCTCTCGGGCGGTGACTTTCCAGGCTGCTCGGCCTCCCAAGCAACTGGTATCCGCTACAGGCCCTAGACTCAGACGACCGAACCAGTACCCCTAGACCTAAGCCTGCCCAACTCTTAAAATTCAGTCAGCATCTAAAGGTACTAACTTTTGTCCTTTCTGTTTACCTACCAGCTATTCAAGTATTTTGCTACCGGCACAGGCCAAACCTACCCACTACTTGAGTGTTTCCTACTATGTGGCCCTAGCCTACTGCTACACCCCGGCTGTAACCCACAAAGCCATGGCCACAGGTAATTACCAGGCCCAAGGGCCTTCCAAACAAAGAAGTACCCTGGCACGTCACACACACACCCAAGCAACCATGCACTCAGACAAGCACCCGGAAACCAGCAAGCACGCACACACACAGACTTAGAAAGCTCAGCAGAAAGCGGGAATCTCATTAAGTCACACATTCCAGCAGCAAAACTCAGAAATTTCAACATGCGTTTTTGTATTCTTGTTTGAATCCGAAGTCCTTGTAGAAGCAATTGCGACCTCTATTGGCTGTTCCCTTTTGGGTATCTGTATTCTGGACAGAAGGGAACTATGTGGTCGGGGTCGCCACACTTAAAACATTGGTGAGCCTTACGACGGTTTTCCCGGACATCCTCGTCTATACCCATCTCTTCCCAAGGTTTGCCTGCAGCTATTCCTGGGTGTGCTGGGTACGGCCGCCAATTTTTACCTTTACCTCTACCCCCTATGAAGGGAGAACCTCTACCACCTTGTGAGGGACCATAACCCCTACCTCCCGCGTAGTAGCTACCTTCGCCATCACCCCTCTGGGCAGCGGGTCGCCGACCTTCACCTCGTCCTCGGCCTCCTCTACCTCAGCCTCTACCTATTCGCCCTCTCCACGGGCTGCAACTGCCGCATAGTCCCCTCCCCGGGATACTTGGCTGTTGTTATCCTCATCCAGACCATAGTCTATTTTGGTCGTATGGTAACGACTCTACACCTCCTTCCTCTAAGTTGACCAGCAGATTATCCTTCCCTCTATACTGCCGGATATGGTCCTATTTTTCCACCTCTTGCCGGCTTGTAGGTCCTTCCAACAATGGCAATAGTTTGCCTCTCGGAGAAACCCGGCATGGTGTACAACTATCTTGTTGAATTTCTCATAGGTCATCCCCTCCTCTTTGGTACGGGAATATAATTGTGTGTTAAGGGGTTCAGGAACTGCTCTAGCGAAATTGTTCAAGATCTGAGTGGAGGTCAGTCCGTGTTTCGGACATTGCATCAGCTCGTCCATAGTGGTCTTGAGTGTCGAAGCACTCTTCCACCTGCAGTCACTAATGTTGAGGATGAGGGACTCAGTACAACAGGCTAAGTTCTTATCTTCGAACCGGTCTTTCAAGGCCCTGAAAAAGTCCTCTATCCTAGTGCATTGTGAGTACTGCACCATTGAGGTACAACCTGCCTTCTTCACCAAACGAAATTGCAAACCTTGCCACATCTCCCCCTAGACACGAACTTGCCATGAGTCTGCGGTCCCAATATGGAATCAACTGTGTGCATAGGTACGTGTCTATAGCCGCCTCCCAATGAAAAATGTTCTCCTCCTTCTTTCCAGTGTATGTCCAAGGGAGTTTTACCTTCATCTTCTCCCTTTGTTCTCCTCCCTCAGACTTATCTCCTTCCTTCCTTCCACCATCCTTTCTGGGACCATTTCCTTTCTTGTCATCATCCCCATCATTGCCACCATCTCCACCTCTGCCACCGCCACCTATCTTAGCGGTAGCGATGGTGTGAGTCGTTTTTTTTGTGAAGATATCGTCTAATTGGCGTGCATACTGTAGGACCCTATGATCCACTTCGCTGGATGACACACTAAGGTAGTTATTCCATATGTCCTTCAAATCCTCTTGGTGTTGTTTTACCTTTCCAACGGCTCGTTGAAGTGCAGAGAATTCCTGGGTGGTGTGCATCAAAGTGTCGGTCATAAGGTTTCAACGTACCTCGGTTTTTCCTTCTTTCCGTTTGTGCTCTTTCAGCAACGTTTGGAGTCTCTCCCCTTCCTCCTTCAGTCTTTTCTTCTCCTCAAATTTTTTCCTTCTTGTGGCCAACAACTTTTGATTGAGTTTCCCCTTTTTTCTCCTCAATCAGCAACTTCCTTTCCTCTTGATCCTTTGTTGTTGCCAACTTTACTACAAAACGATCCCTCTCTTCATGAGTTTCTTTCGGAAGCTCTGTCCGGTACCCAAATTTCTCCACCCAGTCAAAGTCCTCAACCTGCTGGAGTCTCAACTCCGCAGCATGGCTGCTCTCCGCCACCTCCTCTCCTTCTGGTTGGGCTCGTCTCCTCAACAATTCTCCTCCTCCTCCTTCTTCTTCTTCCTCTTCATCTTCAACTTCTAGCTACTTCTTCAAATCTTCTTCTCTCTTCGTCATCTCTTTTTTCATTTTCTCGTTCTCCTCCTCGAGTTTCTTCTGAACTTTCTCCTCCTCTCTCTTTTTCTCCTCCTCTTTCTTCTTCTCAGCCATCTTCCGATCAATTTCTGCCTGCTGATCTGCTCTGTATGGTTGCGTTGTCCCACTAGATCTCACTCTCATGCCGCATGTCCGGTGAAATCCTAATGGAAACAGGAAACGGATGGGTGGACCCCATAGCACGGACAGGGTCAACATCGCGAACATGGGGTAGTCATCAATGGTTACTAAGGGCACAGGTTTGTAGCCTCTACCTCCTCACCACGTAGACCTCACCCTCAACACTTAAACTGGCCTGAGTTCTTCCCCCCACAGTATTACTAGAGCTACCTTGCCAGGCTGGTGGGCAACCAGCACCTTAAGGTCAGCCAACAAGGACCTCAGGAATGATTTAACGAGACAGACAGGATGTTGTGCCCACCAGGATTTGAAGGTTCGCTCTCAAGACTTATAGCTCCTCATTGCGTCAGCTCCGGTTCGGTCACATGCCGGTCAGTACCGGTCTTAGGCCTAGACGATTGGTTTAAGAGCGCTCGCCGCTCATGCCCATGCTCCCTACTTTACGGGTGATACATCGAGCTGCCGAGCTTCTAGCCTAGACACGACCTACTTTATACACATATGTCTGACCAGATGCTGACTCGAGACAAAATCAAATATAACACCAAGTGTTCTTGTCCAGCGGCAGCGACACCAAGATGTGTGAAGGTACCAAGACACGCATTCATTCATTAGAGCAAATACAGGGCTTAGGGGCTGTCTCTTATACACATCTAGATGTGTATAAGAGACAGACTTTATACACATATGTCTGACCAGATGCTGACTCGAGACAAAATCAAATATAACACCAAGTGTTCTTGTCCAGCGGCAGCGACACCAAGATGTGTGAAGGTACCAAGACACGCATTCATTCATTAGAGCAAATACAGGGCTTAGGGGGCTATGCACTTCACTTGTGAACGTTCCTTCGATGAAGCTCCTCAACGCTCCTCGCATGAAGGTATGTAATCACCATCCCCCAATACCAGCCACTTCTTCTTCGGCCTACAACCCCTATGTCAAACTCCCAACCGCCACTCCTTAGCCTGAATCATGCCAGTGTTCATCACCAGCTGATACAGCGAGTTACCAGCTCACCATCCCCCAATACCGGCCACTTCTTTGTCGGCCTACAGCCCCTTTGTCCAACTCTCAACCTCCACTCGCCGGCCTCGATCATGCCAGCGTTCATCACCAGCTGATGCAGCGAGTTACCAGCTCCTATACCAATTGCATTGAGCCTGACACACACACATTGAGAGATCACACAAAATCCACACTGGAGTCCAGATATGCGCAGCTTCGGAGATCCAATCACCAAGCGCTCAACAGTGCAGCGCTCATCTAAGGTAGTTGACTCTCTTCTCTCTCTCTCTCTCTCTCTCTCTCTCTCTCTCTCTCTCTCTCTCTCTCTCTCTCTCTCTCTCTCTCTCTCTCTCTCTCTTCGGATGAAGGAAAGTGTTGTGTCATGGATATCATCGTGAATCGGATGAAGGAAAGTGTTGTGTCATGGATATCATCGTGAAACTGACTGGCCCCTCGTAATTCAGGAATTCCATTCATCTAGCTCCATCTGGGTTCAAAGTCTGGTCTGTATTTCAACAGTTTGTGGGTGTACAAACTGAGCTAGGCCCGTCGGTGTGTCGTGTAATGGAGTGAGGCCCTATGTGTTACAACAATCCTTCACTGTGGAATAAATATTTGTTTGCTTTATTGCTGAAAAATGCTGTTTTTGTCTCAATTGTTTGGTTCTGTGAACTCTTTTCTTTTTTATTCTGTTTTTTTGGGTTCTCTGAACTCTTTTATAAATGAACTTCTGTCATTTTTTTAATGTGGATTAGATATCAGCAAGGAGAATTTCTCAGCGAGGACGACCAGGAGTTCATCCTCAATGCAGTGCTTCCTTATCATCCGAAGCTTTGTGAGAAGATCACAGCTGGTGTTGACATGATTCAGGTGATTCTATCTGTTTCCGTCAGAAGCTATACCTTTTTTCTTTCTTTTTTTTTTGAATCCAATGGACAAAGGAGTCAGATTTTAAACTGATCAGAACAAGTACTACACTTGATCTTATTTTAGCCAAAAGGTCAAGAAAGGTACGAGGTAGGTGCCACTTTGTGTCACACTGTCACATAATAAGCTCTCAATCAAAAACAGACTTGAACAACCAATTGGCACCGCTATTATCATGGTTGCTGCGAATGTTTTCGGTATGAAGTTTCTTTAAAAACTTTAGAGCATACTCACACTAGGACTTTCCCCGATGCATCTGACCAGATTTACGGCCTGACCCGTATGCATCTGACGGAGTCTGATCGCAATTATGTCCAGATGCATCCGGCCAGATTTACGGCCTGATCCTTATGTATCTGATTGCAATTATCTCCAGAGCCCAGTCAAAAAGCTCATAGTGTGATTATGCTCTTAGACAAATAGTAGTCTTCACCTGTTCGTCCATCTCGAAGAATAGGTTCTTGTTAACCATGATCTATTGGAACACAGTTTGTTGCCTGATTTTTCCTGCTTCTTAATGGTTGGCTGTCTGAACAGACCACCTTTTTTGCTGGTTCTCTAGACGCCTGTAGTTGATTCCCAAGCGGCATACAGATACATACCTGTGTTCGCGTTTGTGATTTTCAACTTCCACACTGTTTGTGTAGTATTTTACTGTTTTTAGATCTTTATGATTTGTGAATTTACAGAGTGCATGTATGTTGTGGGGAAGGGGGGCGGAGTTGTCTAAGGAATCCATCAGAAATTGAAGCAGAGTCAACGACTCCACGTTTATGATGGTCGGTTTCCACCATGGCAGTGACGGACAAGTCATCAGGGACAGATCCGGACACTGGACGCCGGATTTCCCGGCTTGATCCGACCGTCCGGATTGCTGATAATTTCCGGATTATCCGGACATGTCCGGATGACCATATATGTCCGGATTAAAACAGAAGAAGAAGAAGAAGAAGAAGAAGAAGAAGAAGAAGAATCAGGGCAAAGCAGCGAACAGGCAAACAACACCAGTTCTACGGAGGGTAAAAACAATGCACGATTGAGAACTCAAAACGTAACGTTCATGTTTTACCAAACACCACACAATAACGCATTCCCTCGATGCATCTCGACTTGCGCATAAAACAAGTCTCTTCAGGAGGGCCTCACCACCTATGCAATCCATTCCTTCCCTCACTTTCCTCTATCCTTCCTTACTTTTCTCCCAACCTCTTCCCCTACCTTCTGCTGAGTATTGCAGACCTCCGGCGAGAAGCCTGCCCTACCTCAGCATGGACGATCCAACAGCGTTTCCGCAGATTCATAACAGAAAGTGAGAGGGTAGACCTGTTCTCACATACTCAGATATACTTGCACTCGGCCCAGCAGCACGGACTGGTGTCCGCGACCCAAAAGTGGCCCAAAAAGACTACCGCATCGCCTGGGCCTGACAGCGCCCAAAAAAAACGATGTGCCGTTGGTGCCACTGGTGCCAAGGAGCCAAAATTTTTTAACCTACCTGGGCCCAAGTTCCCTGGTGCCCAAAATACAAACTACAAATTCCCAGGCGCATATCATAGGCTGTACGACCGGTATCCAGTCAGAAAATCCGGCGTCCAATTTCCATTATTATTTTATAATATTGCTACTTCTACAGAAACTAATTCAAAAATTCTGATAGAAGAGGGGAGGAGGAGGAGGAAGGGGGAGGGGGAGGACAAGGAGAAGGACCCCCCTACTCAGCGCGTACACAGCCATTTGTCTGGGTAGAACATCAACACAAACATCCTATTCTCTCAGGAGAAGATAACTTTTTTTATGGTGGGGGTACACCTGTGAGATCCAAGATCCCCAGGGACCACCCACCACCTTGGTAAACCTTACCAAGGAACCGAAGAAGACCTCCGGGGGTGTCCCCGGAGGCGTGATTCTTTCACCAAGCATAGGAATGCTGCACCGGCTGCTTGCTCGTCAGTCGATGATCTCCATACTCGTAACATGGACACCGTCAGAGTCATCCTTTTCGACTATTTCCACGGCCGATTGTATTAAGCGAGGGTGAGAATCTTCGAATGAGGGCGGCGCTCCACCTCCAGTCCATGATGAACATCAGTGACAAGTGGTATGACAACATACCCTTGCCAACTGAAAAACCGAAGCTACGTATGCAATTTCAGCGCGTTCCCAATTTTCCCCGATACTGCACACCTAGCATGCTCTGCCCATCTCGTAATAATCCGCCTAACGGTGCAGCCAATGGACATCTTCCTACAATACGGGCTCTCCACAACATACACTCCCGAAAGATTCACATCTTTCCGTCTAAGGTCGACAAATCTCAGGATCTTCCTAATCCACGGTATCATCCCCCTGACCGCCGAGAGCAAGACTAATAACGAAAGCTCATCTTCTTCGGTTCTAACCATCAGTAGTTGAATCTCCTCAATTTCCCTCGTTTCTCTTCTCCTAATTAGTTCCCGGAATTGACAAACAGCCGCACGAGACGATATCTCCTCATGAACCATCAGTCAATGTCCAGATCAGCCGACGTTTTTTTCGACGGCGTGGTGGTACTCTTTCGCTCAAAAAAGCCTTCGTAGGCGAGCCTTGTTCGACACCTCACGAGCTCTTCCACCGCCTGGTCCTTGACCCTGTACTTTTACTCCTTAACGATCACAGATCTTCCTGACGTCTGGCGCCTTCATCCCACTCAGCTGCTTGGCCTGCACTAAGGCAAATTCTACGAGACCTTCACTTGAGCACTCTGCCAGACATACCTTCGTTGGAGTTTCAAACAGTTCCCAGATCTCATCTGGTGTAACAGTTGCCTTCCTCGCCTTGCCCGCCCTTGTCACCGGGCTCTTCTTGTCTACGCAACTGGTCTCCGCTCGAGTAGGCGCGGCGGTCCGTTTTCCTTTCTTCCAGCTCTCCAAGGCTTCAATCAATCTATCAGCCTCCAACTTGACTTCCTCACTGTCATCGTCAGATTCTGCAATGTAGCTGCGCATTTCTCGTAGCATCCGTGCTTTGGAACGAGGCGACCGCTTCTTCGCCTGAATGCTCAGCTGCGGCGCCGACGTTGCTATCGCTTGCTCCCGTCGTTGAGATAGGATGCGCAGGATTGTTGCTGCCAACTTTGCCTCTCTCGCTTCTTCTTCACGGATCCTTTCCCCCTCCCTTCTTTCTTCCTCCTCTGCGGTACCGGTCAGTCAGTCAGTCCGGTCTAGGTCGAGTCTAGGCTAGTTAGTCTATAGATAGGATGGGGACATTGGTTCAGGGCTTTTGGCAGTTGGTACCGAGGACATCGCTGCTTCGCTACGCGTGAACCGGAAGTGGTGACGGCTCAGCGTGGAAGGAGACAGGCATAGCCAGACCTTCGGAGCGCCGGCCATAGCTGGGACCTGCACTGTACTCTGCCAGCACGTAGGGGCTGTCAGAGGTCTGGGGTATCGAGGTCTGCTGGAGGCGAGGGAAGTTGGTGCCCTGCTGGACCCTCCTCCGGAGTGGGGTTCCAGGGTTGTGGTGCTGCAGCCATAGCTGCAGCTTCTTCCTCAGAGGTCATCTTGTCAGGACTTGGGTGGCGATGCTGCAGACTTCCATCCGGGAAGTCTTCCGACACTTCGTCATCATCAGATACTGTGGCGCTGGTCTTCTTCTTCATCCTCTGAGTGGCGCTTGGCCTCAAAGGCCTCTTTCAGGGTGGCACTTCCCTTTGGAGGCTGTATCTGGGTGGCGCTTGATGTTTCAGGGGCTCAGGGGTGTTACGGGTGGTTACTCAGGGTTGGGGAGTGAAGCGCTGCTCATTTCTGAGCAGCGAACTGTGGGTCTGAAGTTATTCCGACAATTTGAGACTCTGAGTTTAATAAACAGTGTAATACTGGGTTTGGACTATCATCGTTTCATTGTTTCTTGGATGTGATCTAAGCGGCTTTCCTTTATGATTGGTTGTGAGGATTGAGTGGAGTGAATTGCACTTTCAGTGTACCCTGTCATATCACATGGTCAAGTCTTCCGATGTGTTTATCTCCCCCTGAGCGGTGTGATACTCCTATCCTCTCCCCTTCCTTCTGTGTATGTATGGACATACCTGGAAGTCTATGTGTGTGAGTGTTGGTCTCAGACAACAAACAACCAGAATCATAACAAATATGTACAAAGTAGGAAAACGAAGGAAACAAAGTAGATGGGTAGAAAATATGAAACTCCCTATGTTCTTCTTCCCTGCTCTTCGAGGTTGTCCAGTCGTCCCTCCTGCAGCCCTGCTTCTTGTCTTCCTGCTCTACTACTTCCTCCTCGTGCCCCTCGTGTTTGTCCACCGTCTCCTTCTCTGTTCGTGCTCCTCCTCTTCTTGCTCCTGCTCCATCATGTCGTACCGCCTCCTGCTTGTCCGGTTGTCTTCCTCCTTCCGCTTCTTGTCTTCCCATTCTACTACCATCTCCTTGTGCTCCTCGTGTTTGTCCACCGTTCCCTTCTCCTCTTCGTCCTCATCCTTTTCTCAGGCCTTGTCATCCGGTTTCCCCATTTCCCTTGTCGGACACTTTCTCCCCTATTACCGCCACCTCCTTGTGCTCATGTTTCTCTACTGTCCCCTTCTCCTCTTCCTCCTCATCCTCTCCTCGGTGTCTTGCTGTACAAAGACACCATAAATCGGGGAGAGAGAGAGAGAGAGAGAGAGAGAGAGAGAGAGAGAGAGAGAGAGAGAGAGAGAGAGAGAGAGAGGCCATATGCCATCACTGAGAGAGAGAGAGAGAG